CTGGTAACCACCATTTATTCTTTCTTTGTATGTATTTTACTTTTTTAATATTTCACCTGCAAGTGAGACCATGTAGTGTTTTTCTTTCTATGTCTGGCTTATTTCACTTTTGGATTTATCTTGAAATACCTTGAGTAAGCTGGTGTCAGGTATTCTGGGGTTTTTTCACTAATGGCATGTAAAATTGAGCACATTACACAGACAAAGGAGAAATTGGTGGGAGTGGGGGTGGAGAGCTCAAAAAGGGAATGCTGGAAAGAGCAAGGTCAGGGGAGAGACCAGACAGAGGGTGTGGAATCAGACACGTGAGGGTGGACCCTTGGCCTCCTCTGGGACAGAAGAGAAAGGACTATGTGATGACACAGGCAGCTGAGGACGGAGAGGCGGAGGGACATTGAGGGTTTCGGTTTCCACAGCAGCAGCATCCTTTAAGCACTAACCTTCTGCCAGGGGCTTCCCTAAGAACGTGGCATACATGATCTCCTTGGATCTTTGCAGCCAGCTGGTACAATAGACATGGCAGATCCATGATATTGATGAGTGAACTGAAACTTGATAAAGACATCTGCCATGGTCTTCAACTTGTAACTGACAGAGGCAAGATTTGAACCCGTGTCTCTCTCTAGCCCCAAAGCCTGTGCCCTTCACCTGCCCACTGGGGTCACTACTGCCCAGGGTCAGATGGCCTCAGCCTCCTCACAGAGGTCCAATACCAAGTGTCTTCACTGGGGCTTGGGAATGGGTAGGACTGGAGGAGGGAAGTCCACACAGTACAGCTTGTAATGGTAAGTTGTTCAAAAATGAATAAAGCCCCAAGAGAGATGCATTTGTTTATGCTGAGATGAGTCCTGGGGGCAGGAACATGCCCAGTGAAAATGAGCTTGTCAACAAGCAGGAAATCAGATAAGCCAGGTAGGTAAAACTAACCACCCAGGGAGAGAGTGAGCTGGCAGGAGACAGCCATCTGGGAAGTAGGCCCTCAGCTGTGAGATGCCAGCCACAGGCGGTGAGCACAGAGCCACATCTGCCAGCTGTGTCTGGACTTTCTTGGGCCACACTCTGCAGCTCAGGGTTGGGAGCAGAGAAGGAAGACAGCGATTGTCCAAGGAGACATTGCCAAGGGCCTGGTGCACTCTAAAATGCCAAGTGCTCTACAATGCTACATACTGAGTCATGTCGTGTGTGTCTGTATGTGTGTCTGTATATGTGTCTGTGTGTCTGTGTGTCTATGTGTGTGTCTGTGTGTGTGTGTCTGTGTCTGTGTGTGTCTGTGTCTGTGTGTGTGCCTGTCTGCGTGTGCCTTGTGTGTCTGTGTGTGTGTGTGTGTCTGTGTGTCTGTGTGTGTGTCTGTATCTGTGTGTGTGTCTGTGTGTGTCTGTGTGTAAGAGAGACGGGGGAATTGGGGTTTCGCTCCGTCACACCCAAGCTGGAGTGCAGTGGTGTGATCATGACTCAGTGCAGCCTCAAACTCCTGGACACAAGCCATCCTCCTCCCTTGGCCTCCAAAAGTGCTGGGATTACAGGCAGGAGTCACCGCACCTTGCCAGGATGTGTGTTTAATACAGCTGACCTTGGATTCCTGGTTGGATAGGAAGGTCCAGAAGGAAGTCAGAGAAAAACAAAGGGGAAAAGTAGGTCTTGTGAGAGCAAGGAGAGACAGGGATTTTGGAGGGGATGTCCCAGAGGCTCCTGAAACTCAGCATATTCTTACCTAGACTCTCCTCCCTAACTAAAAACAAACTGCTCCTCCTCTCAGAACCAACTGCATCATTTTCAGGACCCAGTACAAAATGAAAATGCAGTGTCCTAGCTCAAAAGTCAGGACGAAAGTGCTGTTAAAGGTACTAAGATACAGAGCTTTTTCTTTCTTCCATAGTTTCTCTCTCAACCTATCCCAGTGTCTTTTATTTGCTATTTAACGATGCGTTCCCTTGGGCACTGGGACACTAGCAGTGATTGTCCAGACCCTCAAAGGTGCCTGGAAGCCTCCCCACAGCTGAGCATGTGCACATGGCCCACCAGATGCAGGCTGCCTCTCCCACAAGTCACCAGACCCAGGCACCATGGCCCACAGTGGGTAAAATGTCAAGCCAGACATCTGTCCTTCCCATGGGCCACCACCCCAGCCTAAAGCAGATGGGAGACCCTCCAGGGTATTGCCAGGATGCATTACCTGTCCAGATCAGTGGTGGAGGAGACTGGCCCCCACCAAATCACCAAATGTGCCATGATGCTGCCAGCCCACATCGAGAAAGGCTGCCACCGGCCCTACCCCAGGATGCCCCACCTCAACCTACCCATGCCTGATCCAAGCCCCCACCAGAGATAAAGGGTGGCAGTAATCACTGGGCTGAGGGCAGGTTGAGTGGGGGTCCTACAACACTCAAATGCAGGATGGCCAAGAACTGTTTCACCCCGAGCAAAGGAGGGAGGTGGCATCACCTATGAGCTGAGGCCCCATGGTCCCATCAGACTTCACCTACGAGACACAAATTTAAGGACAAAATTGGCCTTAAGAAATTTTGATGGCCACCACAGAGCATTAACCCCCTAATCTAGAAGGGTCCTTCTCACACCCCTGTTAGTTCCGGGTCCTTCTGAGCACAGGGCCCTGTGCAACCACCCTGGTCGTACACCGATGAAACTGACACTGTTCTCACATCTACCTTCTCAGTAAGTGACAGCAGCTTCTACTCTGAATCCAACCTAGAGGCCTCCCTGGACTCCACTGAGTGCCACAGGGTCTACTCGAGGCATCTCCCGAAGTTGCTACTCTGACCCCATTGCTCATCCTCCCTGCCCTTGCCTCCCACCTTTCCCCACCCAGCCACCTCCACTCCCTCAGGGATCTTGCTTTTTTTTTTTTTTTTGAGACAGAGTCCCGCTCTGTTACCCAGGCTGGAGTGCAGTGGCACGATCTCAGCTCACTACAGCCTCCCTCAGGGATTGTTCTAAAGCAATGTAGAGACCAGGTCACTGCTGTCCTCAAGAACTTTCATGGGCTCATCACTGCCACAGGAAAATAGGTCTTTTATAATGACATCCGAGACCTACCACTGTCTTGATATTTTCCAGCTTTACCCTCAAACTTTCTCTCTATCTGAGTAGCCTTTATGCCAACATCACTATATGAACCGCCTGCTGTGAATTCACATCTGCCCTACCAGCCACACGTGCCCCTGCCTCCACCCTCACCTCAGTGAACCCCTCATTTAAGGCTCACCTTTTCCTCCCTCCCTTGGCAATCACTCATTCCTCTGCCTTCAGCTGTACCTGACATGCCCCTCTTTTGATGCTATTTCATTCATTTATTTACTACATACTTACTAAGCACCTACTGTACGCTAGACCCTGCTCTGGGCACTGGGATATGACTAGTAATGAAAACGGGGCTGGGCACGGTGGCTCATGCCTGTAATCCTAACACTTCGGGAGGCTGAGGTGGGTGGATCACCTGAGATCAGGAGTTCAAGACCAGCCTGGCCAACATGGTGAAACCCTGTCTCTATTAAAAATACAAAAATTAGCCAGGCGTGGTGGCTGGCACCTGTAGTCCCAGCTACTCAGGAGGCTGAGGCAGGAGAATCCCTTGAACCCAGGGAATGGAGGTTGCAGTGAGCCAAGATCATACCACTGCACTCCAGCCTGGGTGACAGAGCAAGACTGCATCTCACACGAAGGAAGGAAGGAAGGGAGGGAGGGAGGGAGGGAAAGAGAAAGAGAGGAAGAGAGCGAGGGAGGAAGGTAAGGAGGGAGGGAAGGAAGGAGAGAAAAAAGAAAGAGAAAGGAAGGAAGGGAGAGAAAGGAAAGAAGGAAGGGAGAGAGAGAAAGGAAGGAAGGAGAGAGAAACAGGAAGGAAGGAGAGAGAAACAGGAAGAGAAGAAGGAAGGAAGGAAGAAGAGAGAAACAGGAAGAGAGGAAGGAAGGAGAGAGAAACAGGAAGAGAGGAAGGAAGGGAGGAAGGAAGGAAGGGAGGGAGAGGGAGGGAGGGAGGGAGAGAGGGAAAGGAGGGAAATGGGCAAAATTCCTTCCTCCAGGAGCTCACATTCTAGTTGGGAGGGAGGACAAGAAGCCAAATAAGTAAGTAAAATATATTGTGAGTGACATGAGCTGTAGAGAAAAGTAAAGCAGAAAGGAGCAGGGAGTCTGGGGGTAGGTGTTCAATTTTAAGTGGAGAGATGAGGCAAGATGTCACCAAAGCGACTTCCTTCTGAGCAAAGACCTGATGCAAGTGGAGGAGCAAACCATGAGTTATCAGTGCCAGAAGATTATTCCGGGCAGAAGCAGCAGCAGAAGCAGCAGATGCAGAGGACTTAGGTGGAACTGTGCCTGGGGTGTGGAAGGAATAGAGAGAAGGGCAGTGAGGATGGAGCTGAAAGAGATTAGAGGCGAGGGCTGGGCGCGGTGGCTCACGCCTGTAATCCCAGCACTTTGGGAGGCCGAGGCGGGTGAATCACGAGGTCAGGAGATCGAGACCATCCTGGCTAACACAGTGAAACCCCGTCTCTACTAAAAATACAAAAAATTAGCCAGGTGTTGTGGCGGGTGCCTGTAGTCCCAGCTACTCGGGAGGCTGAGGCAGGAGAATGGCGTGAACCCGGGAGGCGGAGCTTGCAGTAAGCCGAGATCGCGCCACTGCACTCCAGCCTGGGCAACAGAGTGAGACTCCGTCTCAAAAAAAAAAAAAAAAAAAAGGTGAGGACAGAGATCATGAGGATCCAAGTCCTCAGGGCCCTGTAGACCAGGAAACGGAGCTTGAATTGTACTCTGAGTAAGGTGGGGAAATTGGAGGGTTTTTAATCAAAAAGGATCGAAAAACTATGATGTGTTTCTATGTCTATCCCCAAGTACCCTGTGCATTTCTGGGGCCTGGGAGGGTTTTCTAAACCTCTGCCTGGCTCACAGGCCTGGCGCATAGTAGGTGATCAATGGGTGCGTATGGGTGTTTGTTGAATCAACAGGTGAGTAACCTCAAGACCGGGGGTGTGTGTCTTCCACAGGTTGGCCAGCTGTGGCCTCACAGCTGAGGACTGCAAGGACCTGGCCTCTGGGCTGAGAGTCAACCAGAACCTGACCGTGCTGGACCTGAGCTTCAATGTGCTCACGGATGCTGGAGCCAGACACCTTTGCCAGAGACTGAGTTGGCCGCGCTGCACGCTACAGCGACTGCAGTAATTGTTCTTGGTGGGCAGGGGGAGGTGGAGGGAACCACCTGCCACCATGAGGCAGGTGGAGGGTAAGGGCAGAGAGAAGGTGAGACCTGCTTTGTGGGAGTGGGAGGAGCCTGCAGGATCTCAGCCAGGGAGTAGAGGCTCAGGAGGAAGCTCGTCCACCCTTGGACGGAGGGAGCAGGCCTCCAGGCTCCGAATACAGCAAGAGAAGCCAAGTTGAGTCAAGGGGCATGAATGCAAGGTGGGGACAGGGGGCAGAACTTGTGGCCATTTTCACAGACTGCCACAGAGGAGGATGATAATAGTGCCCACTGCATAGAGCTATGAGGATTGCAGCAATGTTTTCCTGTCCCTCTCCTGTTCCCACCAGCTGTGATCTGCCCAGTAACAGGTCCTCTTACTTGGCATTCTGGGGTTCTGCCATGGAGAGCTGAAATCACTGGTGTCCACTGAATTCGATTTTCTATCTCATCCGAGGGGACAGAGCCACCCCCCCTACCATGTAGAAACAAGTCCGGGCGCAGTGGCTCATGCCTGTCATCCCAGCACTTTGGGAGGTCGAGGCAGGCGGATCACTGGAGGTCAGGAGTTCGAGACCAGCCTGGCCAACATGGTGAAACCTTGTCTCTACTAAAAATACAAAAAGTAGCCAGGCGTGATGGTGGGAACCTGTAATCCCAGGTACTCAGGGAGCCTGAGGCAGGAGAATCACTTGAACACAGAAGGTGGGCATTGCAGTGAGCTGAAATCACATCATTACACTCCAGCCTGGGCGACAGAGCGAGACTTCTTCTCAAAAAAGAAAAGAAAAAAGAAACAAGAGTGAATAGTTCCCTCTCCTGGTCCTGCTGGGCCTCCTCCCTCCATGTACAAAGTTACACATACCCATCTGTGCACCCGCTCAGGGAGCTGCCTTCCGGGTCTTCTTTTGTTTCTGCCCAAGCCCTGAAAGATCCTTGTTTACACCTTGCGAGATCCTTGTTCACACATCACACGTCCCTTCCTTCTTCCCAAGGCCAAACCTCTCCCTTTCCCAGGGCCACTGCCTGCTTCCCCATTCAGTAACCCTGATCAGAGTTGATGGGAAGGGGAGACAACGCGGATCTCATCCTAACATCAGGGGTCAGTGATCCCTGGTCGGCTAGGAACTCGGTAACACTTGTAAGATTGAATCCTCGCTACATCTACAGAAGACAAGATTGGGTCTCGGAGAGGTTCATTATTTTCCCAAGGCCACATAGCCAGGAAGTAGCTGCACCAGGATTTGAAGCCAGGTCTGACGTCAAAGCCTGGTTTTCCATTTTCCCAGTCCCCTGTCTTAGCAAAGGCCCTGTAACGCTTTGTGACATTTACAAGCTTGGACTGCAGCTGGGTCTCAGCAGACCCAGCTGGGGCAGCCAACAGTTCTAGAAGCAGGGCTGAGACCCCAAGAGCAAAGGATCCCCAGACAGGGGATCCCCCAGAGAGAGCCCACATATATACAACATACAGCAGATACATAGCCCTTTTCTGGCATAAATGCTAGCACGGCACAAACTCTGCCCTGCACTTTGCTTTATCGGTTAAAATATATGCTGGAGACGGTCCCACATCAGTACATACAAAGTCACATCGTTCTTTTTAATCACAGCGTGGAATTTCACTACACGGACGTGCCATCATTTTTGTCCACCACCTGTTATGAGCAGCCAGCTTGTCTCCAGTGTTCGCTGTAAACAGTGCAGCAGTTACCATCCCCCCGTGTGTCCTGAGACCCAGCATATTATCTGTAGCTTAACTTTCAAAAAATAGAACTGCTGGGAAAAGGGTATGTTGCTAATTTTGCCCTCTAAAAAGGCCCTCCTGGCCGGGTGCGGTGGCTCACACCCGTAACCCCAGCACTTCAGGAGGCCTGGGACACAGAGCGAGACCTCATCTCAAAAAAAACGAAAAAGGAAAGAGAAGACAGACCCAGGTGTACAAGGGGGACATTGACTAAGTTACTCATCAGTGTGGACAGAGTGAGGGGACAGGATCAGGTGAACCACACAGGATTGAGAAAGGGTGGGTGCTGGCATCCTGAGGGGTTCCATGGCTGCAAGAGGAAAGTGAAAATCTCAGGTTAGTTTGTATCTTCTCTGCTTGTCACCCCAGACCCTCAAAAGGCCACAGATGCTAGGAAGGAAGATCAGACCCTAGTTACCCTGAAGAGCGAGCCCTCAGGACAATGACCTGGGCTGCTGTGTATCTTTCCTGCAGGCTGGTCAGCTGTGGCCTCACATCTGGGTGCTGCCTGGACCTGGCCTATATGCTCAGCACCAGCCCCATCCTGATGGAGCTAGACCTGCAGCAGAACAACCTGGGCGACACTGGTGTGCGACTGCTGTGTGAGGGGTTCAGGCATCCTGCCTGCCAACTCACACGCCTGGGGTAAGGCCCTGGAGGTCCCTTCTGGGCAGAGGGCAGGGAAGAGGGTTGTGGGGGTGTCGGACAGGGGAAGGAAAAAGGACTGATAAATGCATAGTCAACCCAAGTTTCTTACCAGCTCTACATCTTACACCATGTGACTTAGACAAGTCACCAAATTCTCTGGGACTCTGTTTCTTCATCTGTGGAATGGGAGTATCATACCCACCTCATGGATGATAATGATTTAAAATGTGTATAAAAACAAGGCGGTGGCTCACGCCTGTAATCTCAGCACTCTGGGAGGTCGATGTGGGTGGATCACTTGAGGTCAGGAGTTCGAGGCCAGCCTGGCCAACATGTTGAAACCCCATCTCTACTAAAACTACAAAATTACCTGGGCATGGTGGTGTGCACCTGTAACCCCAGCTACTCAGGGGGCTGAGGCAGGAGAATCACTTGAACCCGGGAGGCAAAGGTTGCAGTGAGCAGAGATTGTGCCACTTCACTCCAGCCTGGGTGACAGAGCAAGACTCCATTTCAAAACAACAAAATAGAGGCCCCACTAATCAAGGGGTACATGTTTATCAAGATTAAATGGGCCACAGTGAGCCTCATCTCCAAGTGACCTGTTATCAGCCCCTGCCAAGTGCATCTCTGTAACGACTCACATTGCAAGGGCGAGAGAAGAACTTTATCTGGAAAGATAGCAGAAACAGCCTGCCCCTCCAGCCTTGCTCCTCCTCCTAGATGAGCCACCGATCCCTTCCCTGTGATTCCTGGCCCATGAACAGCAAGAACCCAGGCTCCCCTGGCCCCAGAGCAGCCAGCCAAGAAACCCCGACCTGGATTCCACAGGGCCTGCAGCTCAGCTACGGGGGAGGCAGACTCATTCACCTGGATAATACTAGGCAGGCTGGAGAGCTGTGGCACTGCTCAGCACAGCATGCGGGTAGCAACGTGGCCCTGTCCTGGGACAGTGCCCGCTCCAGACCCCAGTGTGTGGTGAGGAGCCCAGGATAGGTCCTCAGTTCTAGATGAAGCCTTCATACTCCCCTTCTTCTAACCTCATATGAGCTCCCTCATTTTCCTCCTGGACTGTAGATGCCCTTAATATTGAAACCCACCAAAGCATCCTATGTCAGCTGGCTCTGGGTGTTTAGCAGGGATGATGTGGTTAACAATGAGACCCAGGTTGGCTGGTCACGGTGGCTCAAGCCTGTAATCCCAACACTTTGGGAGGCCGAAGAGGGCCAATCACCTGAGGCCAGAAGTTCAAGACCAGCCTGGCCAACATGGTGAAATCACATCTCTACTAAAAATACAAAAAGTAGCCAGGCATGGTGGTGCACACCTGTAATCCCAGCTACTCAGGAGGCTGAGGCAGGAGAATTGCTTGAATCCAGGAGGTGGAGGTTGCAATGAACTGAGATTGCACCACTGCACTCCAGCCTGGGCCACAGAGTGAGATTTCATCTCAAAAAGAAAAAGGAAAGAGAAAACAGTTAGACCCAGGTATACAAGTGGGACATTGAGTAAGTTACTCATCAATGTGGACAGAGCGAGGGAACAGGATCAGGTGAATCACACAGGATTGAGAAAGGGTGGGTGCCGGCATCCTGAGGGGTTCCATGGCTGTAAGAGGAAAGTGAAAATCTCTCAGGTTACTGCAAACCAGGAAAGTTTGTATCTTCTCTGCTTGTCATCCCAGACCCTCAAAAGGCTACAGATGCTAGGAAGGAAGATCAGACCCTAGTTACCCTGAAGAGCAAACCCTCAGGACAGTGACCTGGGCTGCTGTGTATCTTTCCTGCAGGCTGGTCAGCTGTGGCCTCACGTCTGGCTGCTGCCAGGACCTGGCCTCTGTGCTCAGCGCCAGCCCCTTCCTGATGGAGCTAGACCTGCAGCAGAACAACCTGGGCGACACTGGTGTGCGACTGCTGTGTGAGGGGCTCAGGCATCCTGCCTGCCAACTCACACGCCTGGGGTAAGGCCCTGGAGGTCCCTTCTGGGCAGAGGGCAGGGAAGAGGGATGTGGGGGTGTCGGACAGGGCATGGAAAAAGGAAGGACTGATAAATGCATAGTCAACCCAAGTTTCTTACCAGCTCTACAGCTTACACTGTGTAACTCAGACAAGTCACCAAATTCTCTGGGACTCTGTTTCTTCATCTGTGGAATGGGAGTATCATACCCACCTCATGGATTGTAATGAAACAAAATGTGTATAAAAACAAGGACAGGCAGGGCATGGTGGCTCATGCCTGTAATCCCAGCACTTTGGGAGGCCAAGGCAGGTGGATCACTTGAGGTCAGGAGTTTGAGACCAGCCTGGCCAACATGGTGAAACCCCATCTCTACTAAAAATATAAAAATTAACCGGGCATGGTGGTGTGCACCTGTAACCCCCAGCTACTCTGGGGACTGAGGCAGGAGAATCACTTGAACCCGGGAGGCAGAGGTTGCAGTGAGCTTAGATCACAGCACTGCACTCTAGTCTGGGCAACAGAGTGAGACTCAGTCTCAAAATTTAATTAATTAATTAATCAATCAAATAAAAACAAGGGCAGTGCTGGGAAGAGAGTCAGGCATGATCAAATGATAACTGTTACTGAGGTTGCATACTGTAAGGGACTCCCAGGTTCCCCTCACTCCAGGGCAGCACTTCATTCATTCATTTACTCATTCATTCATTCACTGAGTGCCTCCTACGTGTAAGCACCAGGCCAGGCCCTGGGGTACAATAGTGAGCAAACAGACATGGGCCCTGCCCTCCTGAAGCTTCCACTCTAGTGGGGAGGAGATGGACATTGGTCACCTGTAAATGCACAAGTCTGTATTTATGAGCTCTGTGGAGTGCTAAGAAAGGAAAGTACAGGGTATTATGAGAATGTAATATTGAAGGACGATGGGATTTGATCAAAATCCCATTCTCAGGGAAGGCCAGGGAGGACTTCCCTGAGAAAGCGACGTCAGGCTGAGGTCTGAAGGAGGAATAGGGAGCCAGGCCAAGTTGGGGAGAGTAGTCCAGGCCAAGGGATGATGTAGGGAAAGGCCTGGAACAAAGAGGCACTTGAACCCTGGAGAGCTGAAGGACCCTGAGCAGCCGGATTGGAGTGAGCCCCCAGCCCTCATTTCCCATCCCATAGGCCCCAGAGATTCTCACCCTTCCCCGAGGAGCCACCCCCACGCCATCTCTGGGCCACTTCCACTCCCCTCCACCTCCTGGGAGCAAGCCCACAGGTGGCTTCTGTCTTGACACTTACCTGTGGCTCCTGCCAGGGGCCCTGCCATGTGCTCAGGGAGCAGACGGGGGCTCCAAACCCCCACATCCAGAGCCTTCTCAGAGGGGGTCCGGGAAGCCTGGGCCCTGGGCCTTCCTCAGCCAGGCCTCCCAAACCTAAAGAAGTGTTCAAGGCAGAATAACGGAAATAAATAGTCTACATTTGGGTTCTCCTGTAGCTGACACTGGCCATTTACAACCATGGGAACTCCATCCGAGGGGGCAGCACCTTTGCACCCCAGTCTGCTGCTCCCCACTGAGATTTTTGGCTATCACTACCTCCCTTATGCCGAAGAGCCTCTCTCCAGAGCTTGGCCGTGGCAGGCAGATGTGGCTTCAGGCCCCAGCTCAACACTTACCCGTCAAACCTGGGCTGCTTCCGAGGGGGTTTACCCTCTAGAGTCCCGAGTAGGTGTCCGCCTCCTTCCCTCCTGGAGCCAGGAGTTAGTTGAGAAGAAGAACCTTCTACTTCAAGGGCTGCGCTCCTCCCCAGGGGCAGAACGGCTGTAACAGCAGTAGGGGAACGCGTGCGGAGCCCTTCGCAGGAGGCAGGGTCTTTTCACCTCCTCCTCCGGGCCTCAGAACAGGCAGGGCAGGATTGATTCCTCCTACGTGACAGATAGAGGACAGAGACCCAGAGAAGACAATCAGCATCCCACATCTGGCGGAAACCCCAGGTCACAAGGCCTGGGAGGACGGCGGAACCAGGACTCTCTCTTCCCAGCAAAACCTCCGACCACTGGGAAGAGAATCCCAGGACCCAGGCCTGGGATTTTGAGACCATGGGGAAATCCCTGGCAGCCGGCTACAAAGAAAGCTTCTGCCAGTGACAGCCACCTCACCCAAGGCCACGTCTCCTTCCTGGGGAGGCCCACATCCGATGACGGGCCAGTGTTGCAGTAGAAAGGCCCAGCCCCTCAACCCAACTCCTTTAAACAGCTCTAAAGGATCATCTCCCAGAGTCGGCTGAGGCCTCCATGGAGACTGCCTCACAGCCCACGTCTCCCCGATTCCCTCCCTTCCCTTGCCCTGGCATTGACCCAGGAACACACCCTAGTGAATCTCCTCACGGTACCCTCCTCCTCAGAGCCCGGCTCCCAGGGAACGCACCCTGTGGCCGCTCCTCTAGAAAGTGGCAGGTCCCAGGATTCTGGACCCTGGGGACCTGGGGACAACATGGGAGATCCCAGGAGAACCCGGCTCCCTTTGTGCTTTCAGGCTGGACCAGGCGACTCTGAGCGATGAGATGAGGCAGGAGCTGAGGGCCCTGGAGCAGAAGAAGCCTGAGCTGCTCATCTTCAGCAGATGGTAAGGGGTGGCCCCAGAACTCCCTCTGGCTGATCCAGGCCCAGGGCTGAGCAGGAGACAGGGAAAGAGCCTTGGGGTGAGAGACCAACACGGCCAGGGAGAAACCGAGGAACTGCAGCAGCCAGAGCGAGGTGCGCTTGTCAGTGCAAATAGAATCAACCACCGCCCCCCTTCAACTCTTACGTTAGACAAACAAGGAGAGGAGAACATGAAAAAGTAAGTGGACTAAAAAATTAGCCAGGCGTGGTGGCGGGTGCCTGTGGTCCCAGCTACTCAGGAGGCTGAGGTATGAGAATCGCTTGAACCCGGGAGGTGGAGGCTGCAGTGAGCCAAGATCGCGCCACTGCACTCCAGTCTGGGCGACAGAGCAAGACTGCATCTCAAAAAAAAAGGCCGGGCGGCCGGGCGCGGTGGCTCAAGCCTGTAATCCCAGCACTTTGGGAGGCCAAGGCAGGCGGATCACAAGGTCAGGAAATCAAGACCAGCCTGACCAACATGGTGAAACCCTGTCTCTACTAAAAATACAAAAATTAGCCGGGCGTGGTGGCGGGCGCCTGTAGTCCCAGCTACTCGGGAGGCTGAGGCAGGAGGGCGGGGCATAGGATGAACCCGGGAGGCGGAGCTTGCAGTGAGCAGAGATCGCGCCACTGTACTCCAGCCTGGGTGACAGAGCGAGACAACATCTCAAAAAGAAAAAAAAAAAGAACAAGAAAAAGTCAGTGGGTGGGTGAGCCAGCGAATCCCCTGGACCCAGCACAGCATGATACCAAATGGCCTCTAGTCCAGCAATCCTTCCGTGAAAAACAGAGGAGGTTTGGAACAATGAAAGCAATGACCACAAGAGGGAGACAAAGACAGAGAGAGAGCCTGTGCCCTGGGAAAAAGACCACCCTCGCCATCACCGTCACCCACCGCCCTCACCACCACCACCACCACCACCACCACACACACCCCTGACTTGAGGGGCAAGCCCCGGGGCCAGGGAAGTCCGTCTTCCCTTCCCCGAGGAATCTACTGCAGCTCCCGCATTCTCCCAGGTGGGCGCCTTTCCACCTGACCATGAAGGACATCCGTCCCCAGGTTCCTGGCTGCAGTGGCTCCCCTGAAATGGAAGGAAAAGAGCTCCCAGGTTTAAGAGGAGTCATTCATTCATAGAACAAACATTCCCTACAGACTCACTATGTGTCAGGCACTATTTTGGGATCTGAGGATGTAGCAGTGAACAAAAAAGATACAGCCCAGCCTCCAGGAGCTTAGTCCAGCAGGGAGACAGGCACGGGTGATCCCACAAGTGTCTGCGCAAATGCACCTGGGGTCAGTGCGTGTACCAGTGGGCCTATTTGACCTGGTCAAGAGGAGCTGGGCTGAGCTCTGAAAGACAGGACAGGTTGGCTGGGCCTAGGAAGGGGTGGAGTCCAGGCAGAAGTAGAGGCTCTGAGAGAGAAGAGTTCAGCCCCCTGGAGGAATGGGAGGCCAGGCGTCAGGAGCAGCTACTCAAAGTGTGGTCCGTGGACCAGCAGCGTCGGCATCACCCTCACCGGGAGCTCGATAGAACTGCAAATTCTCAGGCCCCACTCCAGACCCACTGAACCAGAATCTCCGGGGTGGGGCCCAGGAATCTGTGTGGTATTTGAGACAGAGTCTCACTCTGTTGCCCAGGCTGGAGTGCAATGGCATGATCTCGGCTCACTGCAACCTCCGCCTCCCAGGTTCAAGCCATTCTCCTGCCTCAGCCTCCAGAGTAGCTGGGACTACAGGCGCCCGCCACCACATCCAGCTAATTTTTGTAGTTTTAGTGGAGATGGGGTTTCACCATGTTGGCCAGGCTGGTCTCAAGTTCCTGACCCTGTGATCTGCCCGCCTCAGCCTCCCAAAGTGCTGGGATTACAGGCGTGACCCACCACGTTTCAGCCACTACTGTTTCCGAGGATGCTGCAGTGGTGCGAGCCACGGAGGCCAGGGCCTGGGACTCGAGTGGAGGTCACGGAGCTGGAGAGAAGAGAATAGAAACAAGAGCTATTTGGGAGGTGCTGTCAAGGTGATCGGCTCTTAGGGTGGGCGCAGAGGGAGTTGGGATGACACCCCACTTCTAGCCTGGGTGCATGAGTGGATGGAGGCTGCTCAGAGACAGGGACCACAGAAGAACCACAGGATTTAGTTCAAATTCGGATGGAGTTTTTGTGTTTGTTTTGTTTTGCCTGAGACAGGGTCTGGATCTGTCACCCAGACTGGAATGCAGTGGCACAATCTCAGCTCACTGCAACCTCTGTCTCCTGGGCTCAAGTGATCTTCCCACTTCAGCCTTCCAAGGAGCTGGGATACAGGTGCATGCCACCATGCCCAGCTAATTTTTGTATTTTTGGCAGAGATGAGGTGGGGAGGTCTCACTGTGTTACCCAGGCAGGTCTCGAGCTCCTGAGCTCAAGCTATCCACCCATCCCAGCCTCCCCAAGTGCTGGGATTACAGACATGAGCCACTGCACCTGGCCCAAGGAGGAGTTGAATTTTTAGTGGGAATGTCATGTAGGCAGCCCTCGCTTCCTCCAGGATCTCAGGCAGAATGAACAATTCTTTGTCCAGGAAACCAACTGGGATGATCCCCGATGAGGGCCTGGGTACAGGAGAGACGAGTAATAGCACGTCCTCACTCAAGCGGCAGAGACTCGGATCAGGTAGTTTGAAGGGGCAAGGCTGGGGGCATCATGACAGGGGTTGGGGGAGGCCAGCTGTGGGAGGTCATTCCCTCCATCCCTCTGCCCCTGATGTGGGACGGGGCAGGTTTCCTACCTAGGTAGGTGCTACCCTGACGAGAGAGCGCCCACTCCTAGGAACTGGCTGGATTTCTGTTTCCCCCTCTCCTGCACCCACCGGTGTTCTCCAGAACGTCTACGGCATGTATCAAACCCTGAACCGGGGTCCAGCCTCCCATTCTTGACTGCCAAGGCCTGGGAATCACATCTCCATCTTGGCCCTGCCATCTTAAAAAAAAAAAAAAAAAAAAAACAGGGTCTCACTCTATTGCTCAGGCTGGAGTGCAGTGGCATGTTCACGGCTCACTGCAGCCTCAACCTCCCGAGCTCAAACAACACTCCCACCTCAGCCTCCTGAGTAGAACTGGGACTGCAGACGCTCACCACCGTGCCTGGCTGATATTTTTCTTTTTTCTATAGAAACCGAGTCTTCCCATGTTGCTCAGGCTGATTTCAAACCCCTGGACTGGAGCAATCCTCCTGCCAAAGCCTCCCAAATTGCTGGGATTACAGGCAAGAGCCACAGTGCCTGGCCCCTTTCATCTTTTGAACCATGTTCCTCTCTCAACCTGCCCACCTGGGCATGCTGGGAAGAGTGGCACTTCTGTTCCAGTGGGGAAGGGGAGATGGGCGGAGGCTGGGCTGGAGGCATTGGAGTGGGGCTCCCCAGACAGCAGGCAGGCAGCCAGGGAGCAGGAGCAGAAGCTGCAGACACACTCCCTGCCATGGTCCAGGCAGGCCGGCTTTGGGAAGGGCCCCTTACAGTATAACCATAGGGGCTGGGGGAGGCCAGGTGAGAGAATCTGGAGCTGACTGCTGCCTTGCTGTTTCAGAGGGAAGCTCCCCAGAGGTGGAACAGGTGGAACCCTTGTGCCTGCCTTCACCTGCCTCTCTAGGGGACCAGGATACGCCTTTGGGGACTGACGATGATTTCTGGGGCCCCACGGGGCCTGTGGCTACTGAGGTAGTTGACAAAGAAAGGAGCCGGTACCGGTGAGTGAGGGGCTCTGCTGGTCCCAGGCTGGCCTCCCCCACCCCACTGCCCATCCTGGGTCCCCACAGACAGTCAGTTCCCCCCAACCCATACTCGCCACTGGGTCCCCTCCTCTTGCCCAGACAACAGGCAGAGACAGGGCTGAAACACCGGGTGTGTGCTTTTCATGATGGAAAAAGTTGTTTTCTTATGAAACTTAAAATTGTCTAACATACACAAAAATAGTACAAGGAGCTTCCATGTACCCATTACCCAGCTTCAGCCACTGTTTTGCCAAATTCATTTCAGCTGTTCACTTTCCCCCTCTTTGTTATTGTTACAATATTTTAAACCCAAGATGTCAGGTGATTTTACCCTTAAATATTTCATTACACATCTCAAAAAATAAAAATAAAAACCCTTTCTTCCATAACATAACTACCATGCCAATATCACATCTCACAAAGCCGACAATAAATCTTTGATTTCATGTAATCCCCAATCCATATTCGAATTGCTCAAGTGTCTAAAACGTGTTCTTAAAGTTGGTGTTTTGGTTTAGTTTGGTTTGGTTTTGAGACGGAGTCTCATTCTGTCACCCAGTCTGGAGTGCAGCGGCACAATCTTGGCTCACTACAACCTCCACCTCCCAGGTTCAAGCGATTCTCCAGCCTCAGCCTCTCTAGTAGCTGGGACTACAGTCACACGCCACCACGTGTGAAAAATAAGAATTTGCGTATTTTTAGTAGAGACGGGGTTTCACCATATTGGACAGGCTGGTCTCGAACTCCTGACCTCAGACAATCCACCCTCCTCAGCCTCCCAAAGTGCTGGGATTACAGGTGTGAGCCACCGCACCTGGCCAGTTGGTGTGTTCTTACCAGGATCCAAACAAGGTCCACTCATTGTATTTTGTTTGTTATGTTTCTTAAATCTGACCAACTCTCTTAATCTGTATGCTCCTGTTTTATTAACAGCTGCTAATGAGCTAAGGACTGTACTAGTAGCTGGGAACCCTAAGATGAATATGGCAGCCCTGCCCTCCCAGGGCTTACAGTCGCACTAGTAGTAATTGTCGATAGTCATTATCTCTTATATAACATGTTACCACTTACCAAACACTGCCACAAACATCATCTCAACCAGGAGACAGCATCACTCCCAACTCACACCTACAGAAGCTGGGGCATCCCGGGACCCACTATTAACCCACATGAGGAGCCTTGGGAAAATCACTTCTGATCTCTATAAACGTGTTGTTTCCAATTCTGAGGGTTTAGCATTAATATTAGCACATACGGCCAGGCACAGTGGCTCATGCCTATAATCGCAGCACTTTAAGAGACCGAGGCAGGAGGATCACTTGAGTCCAGGAGTTCAAGGCCAGCCTGGACAACATGGCAAAACCTTGTGTCTACAAAAATGACCAAAAAAATTAGCTGGGCATGGTGACTTGTGCCTGTAGTCCTAGCTACTCAGGGAGCTGAGGTGGGAGAGTCGCCTAAGCCAGGGATTTCCAGGCTGCAGGGAGCCAAGATCAGGCCACTGTGCTCCAGCCTGGGCAACAGAGTGAGACCATATTTCCAAAGAGAGAGACATATAGATAGATAGATAGAGATAGACAGTTAGATAGATGGAGATAGATAGATAGAGATATAAATTAGATAGATAGATAGATGTAGAGATAGATAGATATAGAGATAGAGATAGAGAGAGAGAGAGATAGAGGTAGATAGAGATAGAGAGATAGAGATAGATAGGTAGAGAGAGATGATAGAGATGATAGAGATAGATATAGACAGAAATAGATAGATAATAGATATAGATAGAAATCTTAGCACATATATTGTTATTAATTATTGGTAAATAGGCCCTTTACATATACAAACACTTGTTATTTCATCATCACCATCATTGCCATCATCAACATAGTAGAAATAGTTCACTGCTCCCAGGCGTGTACTAAGCTGTGAGCATGCATTGAGTCACTTTTTCTCACAACTAGGAGATGGGAGCTACAATTACTCTTACTGACAGATGAGGAAACCAAAAACAGGAAGGTTAAATGACTTGCTCAGGGATCCACAGTCAAGAGCAGAAGAGCCAGGACTAAAATGCAAGTCCATCTGATTCTAAAGTCTGGGCTTGAAGCCCCTGTACCGTATCTGCAAGCCCCTGCATGGGGTCTGGCATCCAGCAGGTGCTCAGTGAGTTCATGCAGTAAGTGTCTGCTTCTCCCTCTTCTTCCCAGAGTTCACTTCCCTGTAGCTGGCTCCTACCGCTGGCCCAACACAGGTCTCTGCTTTGTGGTGAGAGAAGCGGTGACCACTGAGATTGAATTCTGTGTGTGGGACCAGTTCCTGGGTGAGATCAACCCACAGCACAGCTGGATGGTGGCAGGGCCTCTGTTGGACCTCAAGGCTGAGCCCGGAGCCGTGGAAGCTGTGCACCTCCCTCACTTTGTGGCTCTCCAAGGTAAACAAGAGGGAAGGATAGGAAGGAAGGTGGTGGTAATTATGGGCTGAAAGGGAGTATAGAATGATGATCTCCTGGGAGAGGGTGTTGTGGCTTCCTTTGAGGGGCCGAGGGGGGGTTATGGAGATGGGGAGCAAGATTTTCCCGCATTCCACTCTTGTCTGGACATATCTTTTTGAAACACATCTGTGTGACTGTACAGGCCAAACGCCCATGAAGCTGGCCTTGTCCTTCGGGTCCTTCGTTCCCCCACCCACCCATCTCCTTCAGCACACACAGACCTCTGCTCTCCACACAACCCTCCCTCCAAGAGGAAGTGAGTTCCCTCAGTTTTGTCACCCTTGCTCCTCTCTGTGCTGCCTGTGGGAACACGAACCCTTCACACAGCCACCTGAGTGGGGTCTCTCCCCATTCTCACCCCCTCCCCCTGCCCACCCACTCAGGAGTTCAACCAGATGACATGGCTGGAAACCACAGTGATATCCCTCAGGCGTCAAAACTGTTGGCTTCCTGGAACCAACACTTACTGAATCGTATAACGATACAGAGTCCCAGCACTCAGATTCAGCAAAATGGATATTCAAACACCTTAGTGGCCGGGTGCAGTGGCTCACACCTGTAATCCCGACACTTTGGGACGCAGAAGCAGGAGGATGACTTGAGCCCAGGAGTCTGAGACCAGCCTGGGCAACATAGTGAGACCCCATCTCTAAAAAAAAAGCAAAAAAAATTAAAGAATTAGCTAGGCATGGTGGTGTACACCTGTAGTTCCAGCTACTCAGGAGGCTGGGGTGGGAGGAGCACTTGAGCCTGGAAGGTCAAGGCTACAGTGAGTCATGATCATGCACTGCACTCCAGCCTGGGTGACAGAGCAAGACTCTGTCTAAAAAAAAAAAAGAGACTGCATCTCAAAAAAAAAAAAAAAAGCCAGGCATAGTGGCTCATACCTGTAATCCCAGCACTTCGGGAGGCCAAGGCGGGCAGATCACAAGGTCAGGAGATTGAGACCATCCTATCTAACACGGTGAAACCCCGTCTCTACTAAAAATACAAAAAACGAGCCGGGCGTGATGGCGGGCGCCTGTAGTCCCAGCTACTCGGGAGGTTGAGGCAGGAGAATGGCATGAACCCGGGCAAGGCGGAGCTTGCGATGTGAGCAGATATCGCCGCCGCACCACTGCCCCTCCAGCCTGGCGAGCGCAGAGCTAGACTCCGTCTCAAAAAAAAAAAAAAAAAGACACGATGTTAGGTTAGCATTTTCTTTCCCAGACCCCAGTTACCAGGAGGACTGGAGCCAAGTGTTTGAGGAAGAAACAGAAAGAAGCACCACAGCCAGGTTGGATGTTACCATTAGTTCAAGCTGCGTTTTTTTTTTTGTGTGTTGTTTGAGACGGGGGTGGTAGTCTGCGCTCCTGTCGGCCAGGCTGGGGGAGGCGAGGTGGCCGTGGTGCGTCAGGCTCACTGCAAGCTCCGCCTCCCGGCGTTCCCGCCATTCTCCTGCGCGTCAGCCTCGGCCCGAGTAGCTGGGCACTACAGGCGCCGCCACCCTCGCGCCGTGCTAGTTTTTTGTGTTATTTGTTAGTTAGAGAGGGTTTCAGCCAGGGTGGTAGCCAGGATGGTCTTGCGGATCTCGGCTGACCCCTCGTGAGTCCGCAGCCCGCCTCGGCCCTCCCCAAAGTGCTGGGATTACCAGTTGCCGAGCCCACCGCGCCCAGGCCTTCAAAGCTGCGTTTTATCTGTAATACGAGCAAGTGGCCCTTATTATCCCAGGGCTTTGTAGACACAAACCCAGTCAATCTGCACAGTGACACCGAGAGGGGGATGCTGTTATCAGCCCTACTTTACAGATGATGCACAGAGAGGGCAAGTAATCTTCTCAGAGTCCCACAGTCAGTAAGAGCCCTTGCTGGGAGTCAAAGCCAGGCGGTCCGTATCATTTAGCTGCTCTGCTAGACAACCCTCTAGTGTCCCACTTTCATGTGATGTGGGTCCCTGCTTGAGCGGGAGAGCCACTGTGCCCCTCACCTGAGCCTGGACGGTGCTGACCACACACTTAGCAGGGAGGGCACGGCTAGACATCAGGTCACAGGCCCAAGGGCAGCATCTAAAGGAGGGAGAGTCCCCAGGCTCCTGGGCAGCAGGAGCAGCAATGTCCCAAGGCAAACAGTGGGCATGCGGCTGGGAAAGGAGGAAGGAGCTGATGGGCTGCCGTTGGCGGAGCACTTGTGATGCTTTGGTCCATTGTTCTGTTTGCTGCCTGTATTCCCCACTGGGCCACAAGCTCTGGAATTGCTGTCCCCATGTCTTTCCTATTCACAGCAGCATCCACAGGGCCTGGCACATTGTCCATACTCAATAAGCTTTTGTGTAATGAGCAGATGCAAAGCCCTGGACCCCTGACCCACAGAAACATGCCTCCCTCACGATAGCATTTTCTAAATTTTTCTAGTGCAACCAGCCAAAGGCAGCTCCAGGTAGGTCTTTCTGCCAGTGACACTTGCCCCAGTCAACACTCAACCTTCATCTCCTTCAGACCACAGTCTCCCCCATTGCTTCCCTTCTCTCTCTGATCTATCAGCACAAGTATGCTGTCAGGTTTGGATGAGGTGACTACCACCATCTATGGAAAGGGCAATATGTACAAAAGGGGGGTGACCAGCTCATCTTAACACTGACAGTCCTGCACCCCCAGGAGCCCTCTCGGTCCTGGGCAAGCATGGACAGTTGGTCACCCTAGCAAGAAGGTAAGTTGGAGACACCCAGCACCTTCTGGAATTCAGCGAAAATTCAAGTGGCACTGAGCATCTGTTAGTGCCACAGACTGTGGTCAGAGTCCATGGCCGGTTGTGTGACCCTGGAAAAAGCACTTTCCTCCCAGGATTTCAGTTCCCTCAGCTGACATGTGAGGACGTCCCAAGGTTGGGAGGTCAGGGTGAGACCATCCGTTTAGTGCCAGTGATGGCAATGCAAACCAGCATCACCTCTTGGAGAAGCAACTGCGGGGTGAAGGAGGTCCTGCTGTCTCACACGCTTTCCTCATCCCTTGGTACTGATTGATTTCAAGGCAATAACACAAGGGAAATAGCAGCTTCCTGCAGAATATGTGCATTGCAGTGCTGTTTATCATAGTGAAAAGTTGGAAGCAAACTCAACCCTGAAATGAGAAACAGAGGCTGAATCACAGGGTGGTGCATCCACTAGCAGGGATCATAGGCTGTGGTAATTAAAAGGTCCAACGTCCTTGCAACAAGTTAAACTGCCACGGGAAACAAGAGACAAAGCGTCATAGACTATGGTAAAAATAGGAAAAGGTGTTGCTGCAGAGAAAGACTGGGATGCAGGTGTCCCATGCTAAGAATAGTTACACTGTGGCCGGGCGCGGTGGCTCACGCCTGTAATCCCAGCACTTTGGGAGGCCGAGGCAGGCAGATCACCTAAGGTCAGGAGTTCAAGACCAGCCTGGCCAACATGGTGAAACCCCGTCTCTACTAAAAAGCCAGGCGCAGTGGTGCATGCCTGTAGTCCCAGCTACTCGGGAGGCTGAGGCATGAAAATCACTTGAACCCAGGAGGTGGAGGCTGTGGTGAGCCAAGATCACACCACTGCACTCCGGCCTGGGTGACAGAGCTAGACTCTGTCTCAAAAAGAAAAAAAGAACAGTTGTATTGTTTGATTGGTAAGATTCATAGGTGAATTCTTCCTCATTTTTTCAGATGATAGATACCACTGTGACTTTATTTTCATCCCAAAAATGCAGTTAAATGAGAAAACTTAAGTAAGGGTCTTCATGATTCTGGGATTGACATCTGACTAAGGGCCTTGTCCAGCTTACTGGATGCCTTATTGCCCAGAAACCACTTGCATTGCAGCAGTTACCAGGCAATGCAGGGATGGAGCTGGGACTCCTGATCGCTAGGCCTGTGTCTCTCCCATTACCAGTGTTCATCCCTCAAGCTCCCTTGTAACTTCAAGGTGCTGGCGCCGGTCAGAGGCTGCAATCAAAGATACCAATTCTGGCTGATTTAAGCAGAAAAGGGATACACTGAAAGGTTATTGACTAACTCATAGACTTAGCAACAAATCTTAGCTGGGAAGAGGAAATAGTGGCCCAGTGACTCAGAGAAACCAAGGGCAGGGCCAAGGTCACATCAAGAAAATATGGAGAGAGGCTGCAGACACAGCTACTGTAGGACCCTCCTGCCCAGGAGCGACTGGACTCTTTTACTTACTTTCTTTTTTCCTTTTTTTTTTTTTTTTTTTTTTTTGAGACAGGGTCTCACTCTGTCACCCAGGCTAGAATGCCGCAGCACAATCTTAGCTCACTGCAACCTTAAACTCCTGGGTTCAAGTGATCCACCCACCTCAGCCTCCTAAGTAGCTGGAATTATGAGTGCGCACCACCACACCTGCCTCCCACTGGACTCTTCACCCAACTGCTACTGCCAAAATTCTCTCTCTCTGCATCTGTGTTTCACCACTCTAGACTTGAGGTCCCAGTTAGGGACAACCACTTAGTCAAGTATTGGTGACACACTTGTGTCATTGACGCCAGGGAGTAGCAGCATCCTGAGTGGGGGGCTCGGCTTGCCTCCTGCCAAGACCCACGCAGTGGGGAGGAGGAGGAGGCTCTTCCTAAAAAGAAGAGTTTGAATGGTGAGTGGCCAAACACCTTGGTCACTCCATTTTCCCACTGCCCCTTCCTCCTCCTTTTTCTCTACCTGCCCAGTCAAACCTGCCAGCGTCACTCTCATGGAGAATCCACACCAGCACAGGCAACTAAAGGTTCTATATCTTTCCCAGCTCCCGGGCCAGGGACTGGGTTTGTGTATAAGTTTGGCTCAAGGGTGATCCTTGAGCTCCCACTGAGGAGTTCAGCAATCCTAAGTGCTGCCGCCTAGTGGCACAATTTCCCACAGCCTCCGAAGACCCCAGGCCTGGAAATGCGCCTCTCCCCCCTGCTGGGTGTCTCAGCCTGTTCAGGCTGCTATAGCAAAATACCATAAACTAGGTAGCTTATGAATAACAGAAATTTGTTTCTCACAGTTCTGGAGCCTGGTAAGTCCAAGATCAAGGCGCCAGCAGATGTGGTGTGTTGGTGAGAGGCCGCTTCCTCATAGATGGAGCCTTCTAGCTGTGTCCTCACAGGGTGGAAGGGGCAAGCAGGCTCCCTTGAGTCTCTTATATAAGAGCACTAATCCCATTCATGAGAATTCCACCCCCATGACCTGATCACCTCCCATAAAAGCTTCACCTCTTAATACCGTCACCTTGGGGGTTAGACTTTCAACATATGAATTGTACGGGACACAGATATTCAAGACCATAGCACTGGGCTCCCCCAAGAAGGTACCTGAGCCTAAGCCCTGGGATCCTATGGTACCAGCAAATCCTGACTCAGTAACAACACTAAATCTGTGCCTCTTAGGCTGGACGCAGTGGCTCACACCTGTAATCCCAGCACTTTGGGAGGCCGAGGCAGGCGGATCACCTGAGGTCAGGAGTTCAACACCAGCCTGGTCAACATAGTGAAACCCCGTCTCTACTAAAAATACAAAAATTAGCCGGGTGTGGTGGCACGTGTCTGTAATCCCAGCTACTCGGGAGGCTGAGGCAGGAGAATCGCTTGAACCCAGGAGGCAGAGGTTGCAGTGACCTGAGATTGCTCCATTGCACTGCAGCCTGGGCGACAAGAGGGAAACTCTGTCTCAACAAAATAAATAAAAATAAACCTGTGCCTCTTGAATCCATTCTTTGACAGGGGGCCATGTGGACACGTCCCTGTTCCAAGTGGCCCACTTTAAAGAGGAGGGGATGCTCCTGGAGAAGCCAGCCAGGGTGGAGCTGCATCACATCGTTCTGGAAAACCCCAGCTTCTCCCCCTTGGGAGTCCTCCTGAAAGTGATCCATGGTACCCTGCGCTTCTTTCCCGTCAACTCCCTGGTGTTGCTTTACCACCGCCTCCATCCTGAGGAAGTCACCTTCCACCTCTACCTGATCCCAAGTGACTGCTCCATTCGGAAGGTGACACTAAGAGCCAGAAAGGCTGGGCCACGGTGGGTTGACGGTAAACACAAAATGCAGCCAGAGAGCCCCCTAGAGGGCCTTTAACTGGGACTAAGGATGGGCGTCTTGTACAGGAGAACCTTGAAGTGGGTGGACAATTCGTCCCTTCTCAATCATGGACTCGTCTCCCATCTTTGGACAGTTTCTTGCAGCCCCTGTCCAGGAATCGAAGGATTGGAGGCTCCCATGCCTAAAACTGTAGCCTTTCCCCATTCTAACTTCTCTAACAATAACCCTGTTCCCATCCTGAGGATAACAAAGACCAAGTGAGGGCTGCCTGTGTAGCAGTGCATGCGGGGAGGGAGGCAGCGGTGATAGAGTCCCACTCTGTCCACGCAAACACACAGATGCACCATCCCCCCCATTCACACCACATTCCACGGGGCAGAAGCCTCCCTTAATCATTGTTCCCTATGTTCCGTAGGCCATAGATGATGAAGAAACGAAATTCCAGTTTGTGCGAATCCACAAGCCACCCCCGCTGACCCCACTTTATATGGGCTGTCGTTACACCGTGTCTGGGTCTGGTTTGGGGATGCTGGAGATACTCCCCAAGGTGAGCAGCTCAGCGTCAGCCTCTTCACTGCGAACAGAAGTCCTACCTGGGAATGCCTGTGGGGCAGGTCTCAGAGCTTTCCCAGGGACGGGATAAATCGAGGTGGAACAGAAAGTGAGTGGGATTTAGGGAAAGTGGGAATGCTTCCAAGACTGGGAGAAAGAAAGTTGGGAGAAGGGAGGATCATATGCAGGATGAGAAGGATGATGGGGTTTGACTTGGGGACAGTGGGAAGTGTTTGAGCTATAGGTCATCAATGCCCTCTAGTCCAGACCACCAGGAACAAACCTGTAGTCGAACACACTGGGTTTATTACTCATTGCAGTGGCAGAACACATATTATGGGGAACCATGGGGTGTCTCAGGAAAGGGTGTTAGAAAGAATCTGCTGTAGGATTTGGGCCTTGATTACATTTGAGGAAGATCTAAGGAAACAAAGATTTTCTTTAGATTGGGTGTTGGTTCAGGCCACACGGAGATTTGTGGAAGAACATTTCAGGCAGAAGGAATGTGTGCAGAGGCGTAGAGGTGGGAGCAAGCTTGACACCTCCAGATGACAAGAAAGAGGTCAGTATAGCAAGTGATGAGTCAGATTAGAGGCAGGGTCTTCCAGGCCTCATCTGCCCTATTGGCCCTGGTGTGCAGTTTGCACTTTGTTCTAAGTGCAATGGCAAGCTCTTGAGGGTCATAAACATGCTAATACAAGACCTGATTTGCAGCCGGGCGCAGTGGTTCACCCCTGTAATCCCAGCACCTTGGGTACCGAGGCGGGCGGATCACTTGAGGTCAGGAGTTCGAGACCAGCCTGGCCAACATGGTGAAACCCTGTCTCTATTAAAAATACAAAAATTAGCTGGGTGTGGTGGTGTATGCCTGTAATACCAGCTACTCAGGGGGCTGAGGCAGGAGAATCGCTTGAACCCAGGAGGCAGAGGCTGCAGTGAGCCGAGGCTGCACCACTGTACTCCAGCCTAAGTGACAGAGCCAAGAACTCGTCTCAAAAAAAAAAAAAACAGACCTGGTTTACTTTCATAAAGATGCCTCTGGCTGCTGGGTGAGAATGAATGATAAGCAGGCAAGAGTGAAAGCAGAGAGACAAGTCAAAAGTCCGTTATGGGCCAGGTGCAGTGGCTCAGTGGCTCACACCTGTAATCCCAGCACTTTGGGAGGCTGAGACGGGCGGATCACGAAGTCAGGAGATCAAGACCATCCTGGCTAACACAGTAAAACCCCGTCTACTAAAAATACATAAAAGTAGCGGGGCATGGTGACAGGCGCCTCTAATCCCAGCTACTCGGGAGGGTGAGGCAGGAGAATTGCTTGAACCCAGGAGGCAGAGGTTGCAGTGAGCCAACATTGCCCCACTGCACTCCAGCATGGGCTACAAGAGCGAAACTCTGTCCAAAAAAAAAAAGAAAGGCCAGACGTGGTGGCTCATGCCTGTAATCCCAGCACTATGGGAGGTTGAGGTGGGCAGATCACCTGAGATCAGGAGTTCCAGACCAGCCTAGCCAAGATGACAAAACCCAGTCTCTACTAAAAATATAAAAATTAGCCAGGCGTGGTGGTGGGCACATGTAAACCCTGCTACTTGGGAAGCTGAGGCAGGAGAATTGCTTGAACCCAGGAGGCGGAGGTTGCAGTGAGCTGAGATCATGCCGCTGCACTCCAGCCTGGTCAACAGTGCAAGACCCTGTCTCAAAAACAAAAAAAAAGAAAAAGAAAAAAATGCTGTTGTGGCTGGGTATAGTGACTCACGCCTATATTCCAACACTTTGAGAGGCCATGGTGGGAGAATCGCTTGAGGCCAAGAGCTCAAGATGAGCCTGGGCCATGTAGGGAGACCTCATCTCTATGAAAAATGAAAAAATAAGATGGGTATGGTGGCGCATGCGTGTAGTCCCAGCTACTCAGGGGGCTGAGGCACTTGAGCCCAGGAGTTCAAGTCCAGCCTAGGCAACATGGAAAAACCCCATCTCTCTTAAAAAAAAAAGAAAAGAAAAGAAAAAAAGACAAAACAAAAAAGAAAAAGGCTGTTGCAATACTGCAAGTTACAGTTGAAGGTCACTTGACGAGGAAGGTAGCGAGGGAGATGGAGAAAAGTGTATGAATTCAGGGTTGATTTTGAAGGTAAAGCCAACAGGACCTGCTGGATGGCCTGTGTAGGGAAGGAGTTAAGCATGATTCCGAGTTTGGAGCCTGCATGCTCAGTGGATGGTCCTGTCCTTTACTGAGTTTGGGGAAACTGGAAAGGGAGCATGTTTGGAAGATAGTGGGGAATCAAGAGTTCTGTCTTAGCTGGGATTTAGGAAAAGGGATGGATATAAATTTTTGTCAATTGAAAGTGGGTGGAGTTTGGGATCCATTGGGAAGACAGGCTTTGGGCTGGAGAAATGAGGGTTTGAATTCAAGGTGGGGGAAGTGAAGGAAGAAGGACCTGGCTTAGGATTATGAGCAGTACGTTTAAGGACGAGCCCTGACTTACCCTTGAGGTGCTCAATTGTGTCCTCATCCTTCTGTGGAAAATTGGGAAAAGAGCAGTTTCTGAAGGTGGTAGTTGATTTCAGTACAGGGATCATTGGAGTATCCCTGTGGAACCAAGCAGAGCCAAGAAGATGTCAGGTGGGGAAAAACCTTCCATGCAAGATGAACAGGGTGGCAACTAAACTCTTTGCCTCTTCAGGAACTGGAGCTCTGCTATCGAAGCCCTGGAGAAGCCCAGCTGTTCTCGGAGTTCTACGTTGGCCACTTGGGATCAGGGATCAGGCTGCAAATGAAAGACAAGAAAGATGAGACTCTGGTATGGGAGGCCTTGGTGAAACCAGGTAAAACCAGGACAAGTCCACAGAACTCAGAGGTGGGAGGAGAAAGAAAATCAATGAAGTAGCTGGGCACGGTGGCTCACGCCTGTAATCCCAGAACTTTGGGAGGTTGAGGTGGGCAGATCACAAGGTCAGGAGTTCAAGATCAGCCTGGCCAATATAGTAGAAACCCTGTCTCTACCAAAAATACAAAAATTAGCTGGACGTGGTAGCGTATGCCTGTAGTCCCAGCTACTCAGGAGGCTGAGGCAGAAGAATCACTTGAACCCGGGAGGCGGAGGTTGCAATGAGCCGAGATTGCTCCACTGCACTCCAACCTGGACAAAAAGGGAGACTCCGTTCCAAAAAAAAAAAAGAAGAAGAAAGTCAGTGATAGAAAGTCTGTGTGTGGGGGATGGGGGTGGTGGTGGGGGAGGGCGTGTGCATTATCACAATTTACTGATGAGAAGAAATAGCCCACAGGAGGTAGGAGGTAGGTGGCTTTCTCAAGTTACATAACAGTTGTTATGACTAGAATTTAAACCTGAGTCAATCTGACCCTCTAAAATGTATGCTGTCTCCAGGTACAATGGTGTCTTCACAGTGCCCTTGAATTAACAGATGTCGACATCCACAAAGCTTTTCACTAAGTTTCTCATGGTAGTTTGGATGTGAGGTAGAAGAATAAGACCTAGATAGTCATATGGTTGTATGGGTTAAGCCGATTTGGCAATTTCAGATACTCTCCCTGTATCGCTCAGTGTTTTTGAGGTAGACAAGAGGAAATCAAATAATACATTTTCTGGGATAGAGAAAACGTATGGACTCTTAGTCTAGTACCAACACTCTAAGAACCCAAACCCTCCAAACAGTCTTTCTAGGACAACCATCCCTAGTCAGCTGTCAAAAAATGGTGAGTCTACCTCCTGAGCTGCAACAAGCTGGCTTCACAGTGTAGTGGAAAGAGGATGGGCTTTACTGAGTCCTGGCTTGGGTGCAAACACAGATGGAGAACTAACCAGCCCCAGCTTCAGACCTGGATTCAAATCCCACTCCAGCACTTACTTGCTGAGTGACCTTGGGAAAATTACTTAATTCATTTGAGTCCCTCGTCTGTAAAAAGAGGATCATAATGACTAATTTGTAGGAATGTTGGAAAGATTAAATAAAGCGATGTCTATACATTCCTCATGCAATAATCCTTAACAAATCGTAGCAATATTATCTTTTTGCTCATGTTAAGCCAATCTCTGCCTCTTACCAGTCTTAATTATGTCCCTTGGAACTCATAGAAAAAGTGTATCTCCTTCCCCATGAGAAAGCCATTTAGATTCTGGAAGACTGTGGTCATAGCCTTCCTGATGACTCTTGTTATACAAGTTACACATCTCAGCTCCTTCCATCGTTCCTCTGCTATATTGGTTTGTAAATTCTTTGCCATCCAGTCACCTCCCTCAGCAGATGCTCCAGTGTGGGAATGAGTCAGAATTGACCCCTGGACTGTCCAGTCAGCAGAGAGGATGCAAAATACCCTCCTTTCTCCACCCACATGGATCCTGTGCTCCTGGTACCACAGCCTCAACTCCCTCCCCTGTGCCTACCTCCCTGAACTGTGAGATCACACTGAACTTGGAGCCTGCTCAGCCTCTCAGACCTTGTACATATGAGCTGCTGTGAACTTCCCCTTTCTCTCCTTTGCAAAGCAATTTTTAAGTCCCTTCATTTTTGTTGTTGTCTGTCTTTTCTGTTAAAATTCATTTGTTATTCGCATGTCCTAAGATTGCTTGATCTTGCTTCTAGATTCTGACATCCAATTCCAGAACATACACCTTTGGTTGGTGCCAGTCTAGAAGGCTAAACAAGAACAAGGAAGTAGATTTCTGCTCAGAACAAGGAGGTGCTAAATAGTTCAAGCTATCTAGCAAGGGGTTTGGTTAGTTCACCAGGGATACAGTTCAGGCCAACACGGGATTAAAACCAAGTCTGGGATGTTGTAGGAGAAATTGCTATCGCTCATTTGGATGCCTTCTCTCTATTACTGTATGATCACAGCTTCTGGGCCTCAGTTTCCCCATATGTATAAGGAAGGGATTCACCTAGATAACCTCTAAAGACCTTTCCAGCTCTTACTCCAGATTCTACCAGAATTTGTCTGTGACTTTTTTCTAAATCGAAGAATATCAGAAGTGAGTGGGAGCCTGGAGGTGTACTGTGTGTGTTAATAACTTAGCACTGTTTCAGATCATCTTCATCTCTGTGTTTGTCCAGGAGATCTCGCACCTGCAGCTACTCTGGTCCCTCCAGCCCCCATAGGTCAGTAACAACTCTCAGAGACCACAGGAGGCAGTGGCAGTTCTGGGGTACTGTCTGGTTCTTGGGGGAAGGGAAGAGAGAAAGGAAGGGACTCATCATTGCAGACCTCACAAGGGGTCAGGCCCTGGAGAGCGGTGCATGGTCCCTCCCCATACCCTTTTGTCCTATCCACAGAGACCCTAGAGCTCCTTATCTGACAGCCTCCAATGCGCCCAGCAGGAACTCCACTCCCGATCCCCACTCTGGCAGAATGCCAGGCTAGATGCTGGCATGAGGGAGGGCAGAAGTGCATTTCTGGAGGCAGAAGGAAGCGAGGGATGCAGAGAGGAGAGAGGAAAGGGCTGAAGATGGGGATTGGAGATGGAGGCTGTGGTTGGAGCCCTTCTTTGTTCATTGCCAGCATTACCTTCATCTCTGGATGCCCCGGGGTTGCTGCACTTTGTGGACCAGTATCGAGAGCAGCTGATAGCCCGAGTGACATCGGTGGAGGTTGTCTTGGACAAACTGTATGGACAGGTGCTGAGCCAGGAGCAGTATGAGAGGGTGCTGGCTGAGGACACCAGGCCCAGCCAGATGCGGAAGCTGTTCAGCTTGAGCCAGTCCTGGGACCGGAGGTGCAAAGATCAACTCTACCAAGCCCTGAAGGAGACCCATCCTCACCTCATTATGGAACTCTGGGAGAAGGGCAGCAAAAAGGGACTCCTGCCACTCAGCAGCTGAAGTATGAACACCAGCCCTGGAGTCCTGGCTTTGCCTGACCCTTCTTTGGGTCTCAGTTTCTTTCTCTGCAAACAAGTTGCCATCTGATTTGCCTTCCAGCACTAAAGTAATGGAACTCTGATGACGCCTTTGCTGGGCATTATGTGTCTATGCCAGGGATGCCACAGGGGGCCCCAGTCCAGGTGGCCTAACAGCATCTCAGGGAATGTCCATCTGGAGCTGGCAAGACCCCCACAGACCTCATAGAGCCTCGTCTGGTGGCCATAGCAGCCAAGCCTAGAGCCCTCTGGATCCCATCCAGATGCAAGGAGGAATAGGAGGGACATGGAACCGTCTGCCTCTGACCGTGTCACAGGGTGAGCCCCAAAACTGGGGTTCAGCGTGGGAGACCACGTGGATTCTTGGCTTTGTACAGGAAGATCTACAAGAGCAAGCTGACATAGTAAAGTGGAGGGAAGTTTATTCAGAAAATACAGGCGTATTACAGCTCTTTGAGAATTTGCCTAGCAGGCTTTCCATTTTTACCAGAAAACCCCTATAAATTAAAATTTTTTTACTTCTATTTTTAAATTTAAGAATTAAAAAATACATAAAAAAGAAAAAGTGAAAATAAAGGAATAAAAAGTTGCATACTCCATTTAGTTTTCAGCTGTTATTGTGTCCAGCCAGCCCAGAAGCAGCCTCCGGGGAATTCCTGCAAGGGACTACTTCAAACCATACCAACATGGGGCTGGCTGGGATTCCGAAAAAAGCAGCACTAAATTCAGAGCAATCCGTCCGAAGCACTGAATAGGGACACTGACACAGAGAGTGGGGTGCAGTGTATCTCCGAGACTAACAGCAAGAGAAAAGGGATTCTACCTACATATTCCTGCAGCAAGAGGGTCAGGTATGCAGTTTGTGGGAGGGTTTAAGGAATCGCTCAGGGCTGCAACCAGTTTCCTTCAGTGGTTTTGACAACAACCGAGATACCTTTTTCAGCGCCTCAGAATGTTCAAGGCCTCGGTTTGGGTTCCAGCCTGCTGGGAAGAACCTGCAGCTGGCTGGGTCACAGAGCAGAGCAGTCAAGTCACTCTGTGATTTTCAGTCAGGTCACAGAAAGAAAGCATGGGTGAAGGGACATGGGGGATCCGATCTACCTTCTGGACAGATTGACTTTTTTGCTTATATCACATTGGAAACATGTTCAACAAATGTGGCTGACTGTGAGAATCTTCCTCTGGAGATGACACTGTTCCTGAACTTTTGTATCCCAGCTCTTGTAATGGAAGTGGAGTCTAGCAGGACACCCACACTTTGAGAAAAATGTTCTTTACCTAAGATCCAGGAGCTGTTCTCTGGTCTCAGGTAGGATAAGCCTATGGAGGAAGCATAAACAAGGCTGAGAACGGTGGCTCACACCTGTAATCCCAACACTGTGGGAGGCCAAGGCAGGTGGATCACCTGAGGTCAGGAGATTGCGACCATCCTGGCTAACATGGTGAAACCCTGTCTCTACTAAAAATAAAAATAAAAAAATTAGCTAGGTGTGGTGGTGGGCACCTGGAGTCCCAGCTACTCGGGAGGCTGAGGCAGGAGAATGGCATGAACCCGGAAGGTGGAGCTTGCAGTGAGCCGAGATCGTGCCACTGCACTCCAGCCTGGGCAACAGAGCGAGACTCCATTGGAAGGAAGGAAGGAAGGAAGTGAGGGAGGGAGGGAAAGAGAAGGAAAGAAGGAAGGAAGGAGGGAGGGAGGGAAAGAGAAGGAAGGAAGGAAGGAAGGAGGGAGGGAGGGAAAGAGAAGGAAGGAAGGAAAGGAGGGAAGGAAAGGAAGGAAGGAAGGAACCTAGTTTACACCAAGACTCTGGCTTTCCACTTCCAAAAACAAGGAAGCTATGCATAATGAACTTGCTGATTTGAATGAATTTTAGATCAGCTGCCTGGGTCAGCAGTTTTCTGCTAAATGTGGCAGGTGTACAACTTGCAAACTTGCATCTGAATTCGATGTCGTCAACCCTCAAGAGAGAAAAAAATGCCCTATTTGTTTTAGACCTTCTTTCTTCTCCAAATAGCCAAGGCCTCTCATAGGAGTCCCTCAGAAGCATGGGGTGGGGGGGTTCTCTTAGGACTAAACTATTTGCTTCTATTGCCTTGCACTGCGCATCACATTGCACAGCATAGTGCAATTAATCCATTCTTAAGATAAAACCCTGGATCTCTCTAGAGGAAGCTCTGGTCCTCTTCTCTGATCAGAAGGTTGCAGGTGGAGTCTGGTAGCTCAGGGCCTTCCCAAGGAACCGTCCTACAAGTGTTAGCTCCCAGCTGGAGATGCAATAATTGTTATTGAGCAAGGGAGTCCCCACTTTCCACGCTCCCCAATCCTACTACCCACCTATCAAAGGGGCCACAGAGGGTGAGGTTACCCCCAAGGACTCCAGAATAACTCCTCCTGAAAGGCTAGTCCCACCTCATCTTGTTCCAGGCGGACCAAAAAAACACATTGAGTGATCCAGGGACATGTGAACTAAAGAAAAAAAAAAATCAAGCTTTTAAATAATTAAAGCTAGTTTATTCAGAAGTCTTGCTGAAGACTATAAACTGAGGCCTTAAAGCCCAGGAGTGGTTGTCAGTTGCTCCAAAGCATTGTCTCAGCCCACTACTCATATGCAAGTGGTGGGGTTCAGTACCTGCAAAATCACATCAGAGTGACCAGGGTGTGGGTGTACAGTACATCAGTGATCACCAAAGTACATGTGGTTATTGACTGCGGAAGTGATGCAGGAATTTTCTCTGTCATTTTGCCCACCAACCTCCTACTCCCCAAAGCCTCCCACCCCCACCTTCCCACCTAGGCCTTGTTGGGCCAGGATACCTGCCACTGGTGGTATCCCACCCATTCAGCCTGCCCAGGCTGAGTTTGGCTTGCATACTGGCTCAGCCCACCTGTATTACAGCTTGTACCTGAGTTTGGCGGTTCCAGAACTCTTGTCTTGCATCCAAGAAGAATATGCTGCCAGTTGAAGGGTGAGAATGGATGGAGAAGAACTTTATTGACTGATGAAACAGCTCTTGGCGGAGAAGGGATGCAGGGTGCGGTCGGGTGGTTCCCCACCCCTGCAGTGGGGTGGTTTTTTCTTCTCTCAGTGTGGCTGGGTCCAGGGCTTTTTATGGACTCAGAATGGGGAGTGCCTGCTGATTGGTTTGTGAGTATGCAAAAAAGGTTAAAGTGAAGACATCACTGAAAGGTGGGCACGACAGTGTAGAAAACCAATTAGGAAAGGTGAAGGGTAAGACAGGTGAAGGGTGGGGATCAATCAGAGGAAAGATTCTCAGTCTGGTCTGAGGATTTAACTTGTAGCTTCATTTTCAGGCTTTAAACTGTCTTCTGCTTGGAGGTGGGGTTTCACCAGGGACCCACCCCTATCTGCCTAGGCATTTGACTGCCTCATGTCACTATCAGAAGCATAATCACTAACCCTGCCAGATGTTATTTTTATTTATTTATTGAGACAAGGTCTTACTCTGTCACCCAGGATGGAGTGCAATAGGAGAATCACAGCTCACTGCAACTCCTGAATGGCTGGTAATAGCAGCAGGAGGCAGTAAAATGCCTAGGCAGATAGGGACAGGCCCCCAGTGAAACCCCACCTTTAAGCCAAAGACAGTTTAAAGGCTAGCAACAAGTCCCAGGTAAATCCTTGGACTGGATTGAGAACCTCCCCTCCTGTTTGGGACACCTTCCTCTGACTGATCCTCACCCTTCACCTATTTTCCATACACCTACCCTTCCTTAATTGGTTTTTTTACACTATCATGCCCACCTTTGAGTGGTGGTTTTGTTTTAGCCTTTATTGCTTACTCACAAACCAATGAGAGTGCACTCCCCATTCTGAGCCCATAAAAGCCCTGGACCCAACCACATTAAGAAAGAGACCACCCAGCTTCAGGTGGGGGACCACCCTCACATCATCTTCAGCTGAGAGCTGTTTTGTCACTCAATAAAATTCTTCTCTGCCGTCCTCACCCTTCGATTGTCACCATAACCTCATTCTTCTTGGAGGTGGGACAACAACCTGTAACCCACCGAACAGAGGGGGCAAAAGGAGCTATAAGCTGTAGCCCTCCAGTCCTCCACCAGCACCAGGCGGCCATCCCATGCAACGGGAAGTGGCGGTGGGGATGGGCCAGCCTGGGAGGCATGGGCTGGAGTGGGACGATGGGAACAAACAAACAGAGACCCCACCATTCACAGAAATTTCCAACTGGCAAAGCAGGGTTGAGAAAAACCTTGCATCACTGGGACTACAGGTACATGCCACCACACCCAGTTCGTTCTTGCATTTTTAGTAGAGATGGGGTTTCACCACGTTGCCCAGGCTGGTCTGAGCCCAGCTCAGTCTCCCAAAGTGCTAGGATTACAGGCATGAGCCACTGAGCTTGGCCTAGATGTTATTTTATATGTAGAAAAAGAGAAGGTTAGGAGCATTTATCTTTCAAGGAATACAGGCAAGAGTCAGGCAAGAGTCTTGCCCCAACCACAAGGTTGGGGGCCCTGTGCTCTATCCTGTTTCATTATCAAAGCATCTTTCCGGAGAGCAGCAGACGTTACAGAGTCAGGGACTTTGTGAAATTATTCTGGCAAACAGAAATGAGCAAACATGGCTTCTCATGTTTGCCACTTTGTCTCAGACATCTGCCCAAATGACAAAACACTTGAGTGCACAAAATAGGATGCAGCAACAGCCCCCAAATAAAGTTAAGAAAAATATCCCCGTGCAAACTGCACCTTATTCTGGTGATGGCAGCTGTCAGTCATTGATTCTTCTTTTCTCTTGGGAAAACAGACAACAAAAGACAGAGAGGTACAGAAACAGAGACCTAGATGGACTAGAGAGTGTTTTCTCAAATCACCAGGTGACAAAGTAGTGAACGCCCCCAAACCCAAACCAGGGAAGTCCAGTGCCTCACCTATTTCCTTTCTTTTTTCTTTTTTTTTTTGAGAGCTGGAGTGCAGTGGCCGGATCTCAGCTCACTGCAAGCTCCGCCTCCCGGGTATATGCCATTCTCCTGCCTCAGCCTCCCGAGTAGCTGGGACTACAGGTGCCCGCCACCTCGCCCGGCTAGTTTTTTGTATTTTTTTAGTAGAGACGGGGTTTCACCGCATTAGCCAGGATGGTCTCGATCTCCTGACCTCGTGATCCTCCTGTCTCAGCCTCCCAAAATGCTGGGATTACAGGCTTGAGCCACCGCGCCCGGCCTGCCTCACCTATTTTCATTCCCTCCCACCCACCCATCCAGCCCTCTTGACCCTCCTAGAGGCCTTGGTGAGCTGAAAGTTTGAGTTCAAGAACACATCAGAGGCTGGTCATAGTGGCTCACGCCTGTTATCCCAGCACTGTGGGAGGCCAAGGTGGGTGGATCACTTCAGGTCAGGAGTTGAAGACCAGCCTGGCCAACATGGCAAAACCCTGTCTCTACTAAAAATGCAAAACTCAGCCAAGTCTTGTGGCACGGGCCTGTAATCTCAGCTATTTGGGAGGCTGAGGCAGGAGAATCACTTGAACTCGGGAGGTGGAGGTTGCAATGAGTCAAGATTGCACCATTGCACTCCAGCCTGAGTGACAGAGAGAGACTCACTCTCAAAAAGAAAAGAAAAAAAAAAAAAAAAGGAAGGCATCAGATGGCCCTGTGGAGTGGCTCACGCCTGTAATCCCAGCACTTTGGGAAGCTAAAGTGGAGGATCGCCTCAGCCCAGGAGTTCAAGACCAGCCTGGGCAACATACCAAGACCCTATCTTTATGAGACGTTAAATTTTTTTATTTACAAAATTAAAAAAAAAATTCAAACGGCATCAGGTGAAAAGGGAGAGGACAGCTAGGGGCCGGGTGGCCCCCGCGTCGCAGGATAGGTCCAGGCCGCCTGGGCCTCCCATGCCCTCTCACAGCAGCTCCAGCCGTGACCTCATGTGGCCCCGCAGGCGCGTAGCCCCGGGTGGCGCCACCTGTGAAGCTTTCTGGCCGGTGACGCAGGAGGCCAACTCGCGACCTTCGCGAACTAAGCCCGGGGTAGTTGGGGCAGAAGCCTTGGCCCGAGTGCGGGGGCGCAGGATGGGCTCGGCGGACTCGCGTGCGCGCAGCGTGCGGGGCACAAGGGGGCGCGCAGGAACGGAGAGACCCAGGGCACCCACGCGAGGAGGGACTCCGCCACCCGCTAAGCTGCGCAAGCCCCGCGTGTCCCGCCCCCTTCTGCAGAGTCCCCCTCCCTCATCCCAGCAGGTCCTCACGTTAGTTGCGGAAGCCTAGGAAATGTATTCCTAAATCCGGAGCCGTCTCCATGGCAGCGAGCCCCGAAGTGGAGCCGGTCTTGGAGTAGGAGAAAGGCCAGACACAAACAAGTGCGTGGGGGTGGGGGAGACACAGATGCATGTCCGCTTTGGAGCCAGATTTTTTTTTTTTTTTTTTTGAGATGGAGTCTCGCTCTGTCACCCAGGCTGGAAGGCTGGAGTGCAGTGGCGCAATCTCGGCTCACTTGCAACCTCCACCTCCCAGGTTCAAGCGATTCTCCTGCCTCAGCCTCCCGAGTAGATGGGATTACAGGCACCCACCACCACTCCCGGCTAAATTTTTGTATTTTTAGTAGAGACAGGGTTTCACCATGTTGGCCAGGCTGGTCTCGAACTCCTGGCCTCAAGTGATCCGCCCGCCTTGGCCTCCTAAGGTGCTGGGACTACAAGCGTGAGTCACCGTGCCCGGCCTGGATCCGGATTCTGATAGCAACAGCTAGAATTCGAGAGACAGGCAGTGAGCTGGGAATCAAATTATTGCCTCTACCACCCATTAAATGTGTGATCTTGAAACAGGTTTTCAGATGTGTAAGAAGGGAATAGTAAAGCTGGCGTCAAACGGTTGTTTGATTAGGTGTGCTCATGGGTGGGAAGTTGTTCTGGGCGAGCTGGTACACAACGCTAGGCAGGCAGTAAATCTTAGCTTCTTTGGGCCTGAGGCTGTTGTAGCTGCCAGTGATAACAGAAGCCACAGAGTATCTGCTTTCAAGCAATTTATAGTCTAGTGGCAAGGAGATACCAAATATGCACCCACGTCTATAATCCCAGCTCTTTGGGAGGCGAAGATCTGAAGATTAAGACCAGGAGTTCAAAACCAGCCTGGGCAACATAGCAAGACCCTGTCTCAAAAAAGAAAAGAAAAAAAAAAGATTTTTCACACCTGTGATTCCAGCACTTTGGAAGGTCGAGGCGGATGGATCACCTGAGGTTAAGAGTTCAAGACCTGCCTGGCCAACATGGTGAAACTCCATCTCTACAAAAATACAAAAATTAGCCAGGCATGATGGCAGGTGCCTGTAATCCCAGCTACTCGGGAGGCTGAGGCAGGAGAATCACTTGTACACGAGAGGCAGAGGTTGCAGTGAGCCAAGATCGTGCCATTGCCCTCCAGCCTGGGCAACAGAGCGAGGCTCCATCCCAAAAAAAAAAAAAAAAGTTTTTTTAATTAGCCAGGTGTTGTGGCACATGCCTCTATTCCCAGATACTCTGGACGCTGAGGCAGGAGGATCCCTTGAGCCCAGGCTCCAGTGAGCCATAATCATGCCACTGCATTCCAGCCATGGTGACAGAGCAAGATCCTGTCTCTAAATAAAAATAATTGTCTGGGTGCTTGCCTATAATCCTAGCACTTTGGGAGACTGAGGCCAGTGAATTGCTTGAGTCCAGGAGTTTGAGACCAGCCTGGGCAACATAGTGAGACCCTGTCTCTGTTTAAAAAAAGAATAGAAGAAAGATCTTTTTGAATAGAGACACATGGCGACTTCCTGAGAATGGACATGATGGTCGAACAACACATGGAGTTGATGGGAATGAGAAGTGCAGGGCAGCGGGGATCATTCTCAACAATGGTGGAAAACTGGAGTCTTCCAGGATCATTGTGTTCAGACTAAGCCATCCTACATGAGGTTTTCTTTCTCTTTAGAGTGGGCCACTTGGAACAGGGAGATGTCCACATGACCCCTGTCAAAGAATGCATTCAAGAATCATGGATTTGGCTGGGCGAGGTGGCTCACACCTATAATCTCAACACTTTGGGAGGCTGAGGCAGATGGATCACCTAAAGTCAGGAGTTTGAGACCAGCCTGGTCAACATGGCAAAACCCCATCTCTACTAAAAATACAAACAAAATTAGCTGGGCGTGGTGGCTTATGCAGTGAGCTGAGATTGCACCACTGTACTCCAGCATAGGCAACAAGAGTGAGACTCCATCTCAAAAAAAAAAAAGAATCATGGAATGCTTCCACCAGGCACTCTGATGGATGGTGGGAGCCCTGGGCTGAGCTCAGTACCTACCTTTCCTGAAGGAATCACTCTGGAGGAGTAGGATTTGCCAGGTGCTAGAACCTGATGGAGGCCATGAGCAATACTTGTCTCAATGGTGGGATAACTACGGATTTGAACTTTGAGCCATGCACACACGCTGGTCCAGGCCCCAGTCCTGGAGCAAGAAGGAAGCAGGGGAAGCAGGGGAAGGAAAATGGTCCTCTGGAACCTGTGATCACCTGTGTTGTGTCAGGCTGTATGATCGCAGGACCCGTGAGTGAGTGTGCTACTCGCAGGTTAGCCCCAGGCAGGTAGGAATGAGAAGGAGGAGAACAGGAGGAGAAGAGGAATGGCCGGACAGGAGCATGACTGCTGGAGAGAACTTGAAGAGAAGGCTGGCAGTAGTATGGACGCTGTGCTATTGGTCAGGAGTCCTGCGGTGTTCTTGGTTTCCTAGCAACTGCTGTTCAGCAGGTAGTTGCTAGGCAATGTGGGGCCATCCCAGTGGTTAGGTAAGGACCTTTGTCTGCGTGGGCACCAATCAGACCATCACGGAGTATTGTTAATCCTGAAAATGGCCACTGGGTCCGTTACTTAGACTTTTTTCGTCTGTTAATTGCCTTCGTTGCACAGAAACTAATATAACCATGGTGTACAAGTTCTGGTCAAATGAGAAAGAAGTCACCCCATGATCTCATTATCCAAACAATACAAAAATTCTGTCTTTCCTCTTTCCATTCCAGTCTTTCTCTGCAGGAACACTTTTTCATCTTGTTATCATCCTAGTACATGGGGTTTTAAATCTTGGTGGTTTTTTTTTGACTTTGATTTGGATCATCACAAGCATCCCTCAAGCTACTTAAAGAGTTTTCAGGATAATCTTCCCCTGATGACTGCATGACTCCTTGCAGTAGATACATCATTTAATTAACTATTCTCCTCTTGTTCTGACATTGAGTTTGCTTCCGATTTTTTGCCACGATAAGCAGTACTGCGATACACGTCTTTCTGCAGAGAGCTTTTCTTTATCCTTTAGATCACTGTCTTGAAGTCAATACTAAGGGATAGGATGATTGTATCAAAGGACATCAATAGTCTCATGACTTTTTATATTTTGCAATAGCTTCCCTCATGCTGGATGCAGTGGCTCAAGCCTGTAATTCTCACACTTTAAGAGGCTAAGAAGGAGGATCACTTGAGGCCAGGAGTTCAAGGCCAATCTAGGCAACATAGCAAGACTCTGTCTCTACAAAACAAATTTATTTTATTTTTTATTTTTCTTTTGAGACAGCGTCTTGCTCGGTCACCCAGGCCGGAGTGCAGTGATCTCAGCTCACAACAACCTCTGCCTCCTAGGTTCAAGTGATTCTCCTGCCTCAGCCATCTGAGTAGTTGGGATTACAGGTGCACACCACCATACCCAGCTAAATTTTTTTTTTTTCTGAGACCGAGTCTCATTCTGTCCCTCAGGCTGGAGTGCAATGGCATGATGTCAGCTCACCGCAACCTCTGCCTCCATGGTTCAAGCAATTCTCCTGCCTCAGCCTCCTGAGTAGCTAGGATTACAGGCGTGCGCCACCATGCCCGGCTAATTTTTGTATTTTTAGTAGAGATGGGTCTTCAATCTTTTCAGCCAGGCTGGTCTCGAACTCTTGACCTTGTGATCTGCTCACCTCAGCCTCCCAAAGTGCTGGTATTACAGACGTGAGCCACTGTGCCCGCCCGCTGGCTAATTTTTTTCTTTTTCTCTTTTTTTTTTTTTTTTTTTTTAGGTTTTTTTTTTTTTTTTTTGAGACGGAGTCTCGCTTTGTTGCCCAGGCTAGGGTGCAGTGGTGCAGTCTCAGCTCACTGCATCCTCTGCCTCCCAGGTTCAAGCAATTCTCCTGCCTCAGCCTCCTGAGTTTCCAGTAGCTGGGATTACAGGCACCTGCCACCATGCCTGGCTAATGGGTTTCACCATGTTAGCCAGGATGGTCTCGATCTCCTGACCTTGTGATCCACCGACCTCAGCCTCCCAGTGGGATTATAGGCGTGAGTTAACACGCCCAGCCAATTTTTGTATTTTTAGTAGAGACAGGGGTTTCACCATGTTTCCTAGGCTCGTCTGGAACTCCTGGATTCAAGCAATCTGCCCACCTCGGCCTCCCAAAGTGTTGGGGTTACAAGCGTGAGCCACCATGCCTGGCTGAATTTCTTGATTCTTTAATGGCTAGTTTTTGTTTTCTTTTGGTTTTAGAAGGCCTTAATTTGAAGACCTTTAATTTAATTTAATTTAATTTATTTGAAGACAGTTTGAGGGGAGAACAAAATGCCCTCACAGTTATTTTTTCCTTCCTTTAGTTGAATATATCTGTAATATAATTTATGATTATAACCATTTTTAAGTGTAAGCACATTCACTTTGACGTGCAACGATCACCACTGTCCATCTCCAGAACTTTCTCATCTTCCTTAATTGAAATTCTGTACCCATTAAATAATAATTCCCCATTCCTGCCTCCTTTCAGCCCCTGGAAACCACTATTCTGCTTTCTGTCTCTTTAAATTTGACTGCTCTAGAAACCTTGTATAAGTGGAATCATACAATCATTGTCTTTTTGTGCTTGCTTCTTTCACTTATCACAAAATGTTCAAGGTTCATCCATGGTATTGCATGTGTCAGAATTTCCTTTTTATTTTTTTATTTTTTTATTATTATTATTATTTTTTTTTTGAGATGGAGTTTCACTCTTTTTGCCCAGTCTGGAGTGCAATGGTGCAGTCTCAGCTCACTTCAGTCTCAGCTCACTTCAACCTCCATCACCTGGGTTCAAGTCATTCTCCTGCCTCAGCCTCCCAAGTAGCTGGGATTACAGGTGTCCACTATCATGCCTAGCTAATCTTTTTTTTTTTTTTTTTTTTGTATTTTTAGTAGAAACGGGGTTTCACCATGTTGGCCAGGCTGGTCTCAAACTCCTGACCTCAGGTGATCTCTCGCCTCGGCTTTCCAAAGTGCTGGGATTACAGGCATGAGCCACTGCACCTGGCCAGAATTTCCTTCCTTTTAAGGTAGGAAAACATCCCATTGTGTGTGTATGCCACATTTTGGTTATCTATTCACCTGTTGATGGACACGTGTGTTGCGTCCACGTTTTGGCTATTGTGAATAGTGCTGCCGTGAACATAGGTGTACAGATGTCTCTTTGAAACCTTGTTTTCAACTCTTTTGGGTATACACCCAGCAGGGGAATTGCTGGATTATCCTCACAGTTCTTAACCATTTAGTGTGGGTCAGCTTCTGGGTGGATAGAGGAATGGAAGGAGGAGAAGAATGATGTTGCTGAATTGGCTGTTTGACAATTTTTTTTTTTTTTTTGAGACAGAGTTTTGTTCTTGTTGCCCAGACTGGAGTGCAATGGTGCGATCTCGGCTCACTGCAACCTCCACCTCTTAAATTCCAGCAATTCTCCTGCCTTAGCCTCCTGGGTAACTGGGATTACAGGCACCCACTCCCACGCCCGGCTAATTTTGTATTTTTAGTAGAGACGGGGTTTCACCATGTTGGTCGGGCTGGTCTCGAACTCCTGACCTCAGGCAATCCACCCGCATCAGCCTCCCAAAGTGCTGGGATTACAGGTGTGAGCCACCGCGCCTGACCCTGTTTGATGATTCTTGTTCTATAGGGGTGGCACAAAGAGAAGAGGACAGAGCACAAGCAACCAAATCTGTTCTCTCTGAGGAAGATCATATGCAGAGAGCAGAGGTCTGTGTGTGTGAAAGAAAACGGGAAGGATGAAAATGTCCAGAGTGGTGAGTTCTGCTGGGCCCTGGAATGCAGCTGAGGTGCTGGAAGCGCTGAGTTCTCTCTAGTGAGAGAAAACACACCGTGGAAAGCTAAACATCTGATGCAGAACCATAGCACTGAGCAGGAAGAAGCCATCCGTGCCCAGCTAGGCTAAACTAGACCTGCGGTAGGCTGTGAGTAGGGCCAGCTTCCTGGAGGTGCAGCCTGTGCAATGGCAGTAGGCCCCCATGCTTGGGGTTTAATGCATGGCAGTCACTGCCTTGAAATTCTTAATAATTGTATCTTTGAATGTGTGCTTTGTAAGTGAAGTCTGATGGGACCTGGAGCGTGCATAGGGGCAGGAAGGGAGGATAGGGAGGCTTGGAGCCACAGCTCATGTGGAATCCCGCCTGCCAGGTGCCACCTCACAGCCCCCAGACAGGTTCTTGACTTCCCGCTGTCTGCCCCATGGAGCCCCAGGCTTTACTCAGCCTCCCCTTCTCTGCCTTGCTCAGCAATCACTGCTACCTCTATCCCCAGCAGGGGACTGAGTGGAGCACAGGGATGGTCAGCATTGGGTGTGAGCTCCCAGAAGCCTCTCAGGGTGGGGCAGGCAGCTGACCCTGCATTGGGCTAGAAGTACCACAGCACCTTCAGCAGGTGACTAGGCCTATCCAGGCACATCCTGGTGTAGAGGTTGCAATACACTTGGAGGTTTCCCATCAACGGTGGGTTTGGGTAGTGGACCTGTGGAAAGGGGAGATTCCTGGCTTGACTTCCCTTCTCCTAGCCAGGGCATGCACAGAAATTAGAAATTGGCAGGAGAGAAATTCAGCAGCCAGTTTCAAAGCAACCATGGTTTCCAGGATAACAAACAGCTCTAGCCCAGGCAGCAGAGATTCCTGCAAGGTCCTTCTCTCCCACCCACCCATGGACACATACATCCCACCACCACCACCACCGCCACCTTCAGGCTACCCACCCCAGGCTTGCTCACCATCAAAAGACGGTGTCCTGTTAGCGCTTTCCCAGGTCACATCCTGGGCCTCACCCTGCAGCAACAAACAGACTTGGTCCCTTTAGAATGGTGTGCACAGAGCAAAGGCAAAATTCACAAAGGCCACTTTAGAGCTCGAAGTGTTCCATGCCAGCTGAGGAAACAAGCTTCGGTCGGTGGTGGTGTGGGCCGGCGCTGGCGGCGGCGCGGGCGGTCGCGTGCGGTGGCGTGTGGC